ATTGATCTCGCCATGTCCTCAGTAATTATCCGATGCTTGGTTAGAGGCGTGCGGCCAACTCTTGATGTTGTCGAAAAGCAGTCTTTGAATTCGGCCAGTAGCTCAAGAAGCCTCTTTCGCTCGTTATTAGGCAAAGTAGTGCTAACGTCAAGAACTGGTGTCGAATCAAGTTTTGGCACCTCGTCGACTACTGCCAAGCAGCCTTCTGTGTCTGTGATATCGTCGAAGTAAGCGACAGCCATGCCTTTTGGAAGGTGCCGGCGCTCATCACAAAAATTTGTCAGAAGCAAGCCCTTGCGTCCAGCGGCGACACTGACGATACCTCTTGCGACGGAAATGCCGTGTGTGAAGAGGGGCGAGGTTATTCGGTCTGCTACTCCTTCGCCGTCAAACTGGACAGCGGCTGCCACAGAAACAAGCGTTCATGACCGAGGAGGGAGAATTACATCGTCATCAGTTAGACGCAATTGGTTTGGTCGCGCTTGTGTACAATCAGGTGCGCCCGAACTGTTTCGGAATGTAATCAAACTGTCTGGGATATTGATGACGGCGCCGTACTCTCGTAAGAAGTCCATACCAATAATTAGATCCTTGCAGCATGCGGCGAGGACGACCGACGCAACGAAAGAAGAACCTCCTATGTCAATTCTCGCTGTGCATCTTCCAGAGGGCATCAATAACTGACCACCTGCCGTCCTTATTTGAGGGCCTGTCCACGGTGTCTTCACTTTCTTGAGGCGGTTGGCGAGGTCCTGACTGATGATAGAAAAGTCGACACCGGTGTCGACTAAGGCTGTTACTTCTTGGCCGTCAAGAAAAACACTCAGGTCAGCGGTCACAATGTCGTCGCTCTCACGTCTTGTCGGATTTACAGCGTCGTGTAATGGGGGCTTTTTGTCGTCATCTTCATGGCCTGCAACCTTACCCCCGGAGGTCGCCGCCCTCAGTTTCCCCGTCGCGGGCTGGGTGACCTTCTTGCGTTAAGGTCGGCGGAGGTACGTCGGTGTGAAGAAGGTGAATGAGCGAGAGAAGGAGAGCGGGATTGACGTCCCAAACCTGGCTGGCGGGTAGGTATTGCCTCCTCGTCAGAAGTACGGTATTCGTAAAAGTGAGAACGGGCTCCATGGAAAGAGGCGTCCTCCCGGCGTGGTATGTATTCTTCATTCGCACGTCGATCGTCAGACCATGTTCGAAGAGGCCAGAACGAATCATTGCGATGCCAGCAATGACGGGCAATATGACCTGCACCTCCGCAGTTAAAGCATAGTGGACGTCAATCGATTGTGCGCCATGCGTCTGTTCTTCGGAGCGGGGGACGTCCGAGCCTCCCTTCTTGCGACGATGTCCATGGTGCTGCTGTGGACGCCTGGTGGTACGTCGGTTGGCTTGGCGGTCGGCTCAGGGCCTGCTCTTGCCGCGGTGACCAAGGGGCCGTCAGCACTGGGTGATATGGCGGCGATGTACCAGATGGTGAACGTCGCAGAGCATCGGCATAGCTCATGGGACGGTGCTCGTCACCAGGACCAGTGGTAGAAAATGCGTGGCGGATTTCGTCGCGTACCAGTTCAGCGACGGACGCAACGGGGGTTTGAACAACTGGATTCCGGAACTTCTGCAGTTCTTCGCGAACTATCTCCCTAATGAGGTCTCGCAGGGAGCTTTGACCCTCGAACTATCTCCCTAATGAGGTCTCGCAGGGAGCTTTGACCCTCAGGTATGGCGGCAGCATTGATTGGGGCCCTGCTAGACATTCGATGATACTGCCTGCATCGTTGATGGAGCGCCCGCTCGATAGCCGTAGCCTCCTTGATGAAGTCAACTACGGTACTTGGAGGGTGGCGCAGTAGCCCGGCGAAAAGTAGCTCCTTAACGCCGCGCATGAGGTAGCTCAACTTCCTATCTTCACTTATGTTCTGGTCAGCTCAACGAAAAAGACGACTCATATCTTCAGCAAACATAGTAACGCTTTCATTGGGTTTTTGAACCCGTAGCTCCAACAGCTGCTGCGCACGGTCGCGTCGATCGACATTGGTGAACGTATCGACAAGCTGTTGTCGGAAGTCGCCCCAGGTTAACAGACTGGCTTCTCTGTTCTCATACCAAATTTTCGCACCGCTGTCAAGGTAGAAATAGGCGTGTGAGAGCTTTTCTTGTTCAGGCCACAGATTAATCTTGGAGACACGCTCGTAGTGCTCAGGCCAGTCGTCCACGTTTTCATGGGCGCCGCCACTAAAGTGATAGGGAACCAGCGGTTGAAAGATGGTTACCTGTGAAGGCTGGGTTGGAGGGGGGCCTTGGGGCGCCGGTTGCGGACTGGCGTTGGCCATTTGGAGAGGTAATCGGCACTTGCAAGGTTCCGTGGAAGGCGTGAACTTTGGAGCGAGGCCTATCAGCCGCCGACTAAACCGGTGCATGGGAGTTGCAATGGGTGACAATGCGTCCGAGCTAGATGAACGGCTCCCAGTGGGAGTATGGAGAATTAGGTAGGGTTGCGTCCCAGCACTTCCACCAGTGTCGCGGTACCGCGCAAACTAAAGGCAGATAAACGTTGACACAGCGACTCTCAGCAGCCGAACTTGTTTGTTTGTTTGTTTGTATCCTCTAATCCATGGCTCGTACCCACTCTGGGGAATTGGCCAAGAGAACATATAGTCTCATATGGACGATAACTGCATTATTGCTTACAACGAAAAAAAAAAAAAAAACGGGGGGGGGGGGGGGGGGGGGAATTGTTAAAAAAAGAAAGAAACCAAACATTTAGATTGTGAGAAAAAAGAATCAACAACAAAGTAGACACTAATAGCTACAACTTGATTTTTGAAGCCGACCAGACAGCTGGTTTTTCCAAACACGATTAATTTGGTATGTCACGGATTTATCCAGAATTGAGAATTGCTTTTCGACCCATTTTTTTTAGTATCTGATAACGTGGGCTTTATGTTGAAAAACGTTTAGAGTCTTGAATAAAATTACACACCGCATCGAATGCATCTCTGTGGCAATTTCCCAAAACAGAGGCACTAAAACTTGGAACATTTTCTGTGGTTAAATTTAAACCTAGCTTCGCGAATGGAATATCTGAAAGTCGTTTCCTAATTAATGCATAGTTACGACATGAGCCAAAATAATGTTCAATAGTTTCCGATTCTTCGCAGCACGGACAAAGGGGGGAAAGTGTCAGACCAGCTCTGTGTAAATAAAAATTTAATGGGGGGACACCGCCGAACAGCAAGATCGCCTTCTTTATCTTATCAGCCAGAGCTCCACTACCTGGTGTCCACCAGAGCTCCACTACCTGGTGTTTGCCAAATCCCCTTATCGTCGTTTTGGTCCACCAGTACACACGCGTCAATATACACTTATACATATACAGTGAATGACTGCTGCGGCGCCGGTAAAAAACCAGCCGAGACTGTCCATATAATTGCTATTTCGCAATAAAAAAAAAGCAAAGCTGAACATCGTCAGGGGCCACACTATGCACGTGCAGTGAAACTACGCACGTACGCACGGCGTCGAAAATGAAGAGCGATCGACATGGACACAGACATCGATACCACGAAAAACTATTGGATTAAGTTTACTATTTTTTGTTTATTTTGGCTTAAAAGCGTGGGGGGGGGGGGGGGGGGCACACCCGCTCGTACGTGCGCTCGCAGCGATGAGAGTGGCGGGTGGCGGCACAGCAGGCTCACGGTGTGCAGGCCCGTCTGCCCGCATCGCGCTCACCGACGCACAATAACGAGCGCTGGCTCTCGCTGCACCGTGCGTCGGTGGCGGGGCAGCTGCGTAAGATGCATGCTTGTGCCAAAATGGCAAAATGCGGAGCGAAATTCCTAGATTGTCCGTGGGGAAAACCCGTTAAATCATGATTGTCTCCCGCTGTTACTTTGTTACATAGAGGTCGCAAACACATTTGCTTCTATGGAACAATGGCGGGGAATAGAAAAACTTCATTATATAGAGGAATTCGTTGCATGGAGGTTCGTTATAAGCAGGTTTAACTATATTTGGCAATCTGTCGTACGTTTGAGCAACTCTGCTCCCTTTTGCCTATTCAAAACGCCGGCACATCTTTGACGATTTTGTCCACCTTAGTACAATTCTTGCACATAAGGAAGTTGAAGGCATCATCGGCAAAACCTTTTAAATGCGTTCAATCTTGTCAGCCTCGGTCATGTTGTCGTCAGCTTTACGACAGAGAGATAGCACATCTTGTATGTAAACAACATACGACTCTGTTGACGTCTGAGCGCGGCCCGCAAATTCTTTCTTTGTGGCCAGCTGACGACCAGCCAGCCTGCCAAACAAAACTCTCATTTTCTATTTACAGACGTCTTAGCTTGTGAGGTCAGCTTCACGTGTCTCGTACCATTGCCGCGTAATTCACTTAATATAGAAGATCAGGTCAACTAGGATAAGGATCGGGTCCCACCTGTAGCTGTCGCTCACTCTTGCATACAGTTTGAGCCACTCCTCAAAAGTCAGTCTTATTCGTGCCACAAAAGGGCCCAGGGTCCCGCGGATGAATCAGGAAGACCTCTGGCATGGCCGTTGACGCTTGGTTTGCCATTGTTGCTGGCTCAGACATTGTCTGTTGGTTTGCCCTTGTGGCGGCAGGCAGATGACGTCCGCTGCGAAGTTCCGTCCCGGTACCGCAACATTTTTACCAAATGTTATGGGAAGAAACCAGATCCCCGGTTGCAGAGCTGATGTATTCACAGTGATCGTAGAGCTTTCCCAGGCGGAAATAAGTCCCATTGTCTTCTTCCAATCTGAGTGAACTTAATCGTTCTCTTTACCGCAGCAATATTTTGGAATCGTATAAAAAAAAAATGGTTCCAAAAACAGAAAACTTGAATTTCCAAAAATCAGTTTTTTTTTTGCCAATTTTCGCAATGCCAAAGGCCCTTACCCAGTTGTGTGCATTTGAGGGATAAGTGGGGAAAAACAGACCCCTCTTGTGTGTGCTGCCACGAGTCGCATAGAAAGGCACTGACCTGTTGAGCACCAGGGTGCTGAGTGCCTCGCCGTCCACGTCCTCGGCAATGATGACCAAGGGCCGGCGCTGGGAATTGGCAAGCTCCAAGGCAGGAATGATGGCTTGCACGTTCGAGATCTTCTTTTCACTCAGCAACAGCAGGGCATCCTGGAACTCCACTTTGGCTCCCTTGCTCGTGTTGATAAAGTAGGGCGAGATGTAGCCACGATCAAACTTCATCCCCTCGATCACTTCCAGCTCGTCATTCAGTGTCTTGCCGTCCTGCGCCATCCCAACATGCCGCGCTTGACCGAGATCTCAAGCACAGCCACTCAGAACCAGAATCCCACAGCACGCATCTCCAGGGTTCGGCCAAAAATATTGGATGTTTCGTTACCAGAAGAGACACCACCCCTTTAGAGGAGGTTAAAAATATTACTACAATTAAGAGGCATGCTCCAGACAGCAATTGTATTTTATATGAGATGTCTCTTTAGAAGGGTGCTTCTATGCATTTTCTTGTCAACCTGTATTTTACTGTAGGCACACTGGTGTCTCTTATACCAGTGTCTCTTCTAAAGCGTTCGACTGTACTTGAAGCCGTAGCCACAATGGCAACCGGTCAGTCTTTAGTCGTGGGTAGGCTGGTGCAAATAGTGAATTTATGCCTACTAATTTCAAATCGAATTCAAATAGCATATATGATATATACAGAACAATGGGCATATTTATCATGACTAACCTAACTAACCTGTACAATACTTTAAAAAAAACAAAACAGGGCCTCTATGCAAATGCCATTTTTTTTTTTTTGTTCAAAGGAAGTTTAAACAACTTTGAGTAGTTGCAGGATTTGACTTTTGGTGGATGTAAGTAATAACCTGTCAAATATAACACATTAAAATTTATACTTCGAGCACATAAGCCGGCATAACAAGCTTTAATAAACGATGAATCGATTTGAGGGTAATATGTTCACTTAAAGGGGCCCTGCAACACTTTTTCAAGAAGCCATAAAAAGGATTCACGAAAGAAACTTATTGCCTTACAAATTAACCGCAGCAAAAATATTTAGAATCCGTCCAGTACGAGCAGAGTTGCAAAGATTTGTCACATGCTGCAACTGCATTTTCTGGTCCTGATGAAAGCACTGAAAGCTAAGCAAGAAGAGATGGCACAGGCAAAGAAAACAACTCACCCGTGCCTTGAGCACTTTTGCTCTCTTCTTTTACTTTGAATACTCGGCTTTTCAGTGCGATCGTGCACGTACGCATGGACAAATCACGACCTCCCGTGGCGGCCCCAATGATGACCGAGCGTGTCACGCTCAAATCAGTCAACGGCTGATAGAATGGCAGTGACGAGTAATTTTTAAGCTTGTGGCGTCATTTGCAGAGAGAAGAGAGCAATTTGTAGCCGACTTTGAGAATTTATTGTGAATCACAGGCAGTGCATTGCAATATAATATTAGGCTCTCGTGTTCTCACAGTAGCCTGGGCTACCCATCGACGGCGTTTTTTGACCATGCTCAGAAAGTGTTGCACGGCCCCATTAAATTTGCAGTAGGGCTTCGCGGCAGAGCGGATTTCCCCTGGTTAAGCGCTTTCACAACTTGTAACCCTTACAATGCAGTGAAACCACCTTTATAAGGGATTCCATGCGAGTTAATACCGTTAAACCTGCTTGTTAAACCTGCTTATAACGAACCTCCATATAACGAATTGCTCGATATAGCGAAGTTTTTTATTCCCCACCGTTGCTTCATAGAAGCACATGTATTTGCAACCATTCCCCACCGGTGCTCCATAGAAGCACATGTATTTGCGACCTCTATGTAACAAAGTAACTGTGGGAGACAACCTTGACATAAATTTTCACCACGAACAATCTAGGAATTTTAGTCCGCATTTTGACACGAGCATGTATGTCCTCGCCGCTGACGAAGCGCGAAGTGGCAGTGGCGCGCAAAGCCCACCACGCGAGAGCGATCGCTCGTTATTGGGTGCGGGTGGGTGAGCGAGTGCGAAACAAGCCTGCACCCTACAAGCCGGCGTGCGCAGACGTGTTCCCCCACCCCACTCCTAACCAAAATAAAAAAAGAAAACTACCTTTGCGCATTGGCACTGCCACGGTTTCAGTGACCGTAACATATGCGGGGCCGCGCTGCACATGGAGGGCGCTTTACCGAATAGTTTTCCGCCATGTCTGTGTTGTTCGCTTTTCGACGCCGTGCGCACGCGCATAGTTTCACTGCGTTTGCATAGTGCCCCCCTCCCCCGACGACAATCCAACTTCGCTTTTTTTATTATTGCCAATTATATTAACAGTCTCGGCTAGTTTTTTGCCGTCGCCGCTGCCATTCACATATATATGAAAACTAAAAAAAAAAGCCGCCCACACACGGCGCCTAGTTCGTCACAATGCGTCGACGCACGCTCATCTCCCACGTGCACTTTGCGCCGCGAATGAAAGGGGGGAGGGGGGGTTAAATGCTTGTGTGTGCGCGCTTATCCTTCGGTGAAGAGAATCGCGCGCCTTCGACTTTGACCGGAACGATTGCGTTTAGTTGCTGGGCGCACGAAAATTGCTTCGCTCGCAGGACAGGCGACGTTTGCGAAAAGAGTGCGCTTTTCAAGCACAGCAAAGTAGCAACTGGGCGGGCACATTGTTGGTACGCACTCATATCTGTACCTGTGATTAAGTTTCGTGCCTAGTTTTTGTTTACACAGCGCGTTGAGTAAACGTTCTTAGTTCACTCTCGTCCTGTGTATGTTGCTTTCGGGTGTAATTTGTGCATGAGCAGCGCGCTGCCCGTTTCAATCTATTGGCCGTTCTCAGCGTTAATTCCAAGTTGTTATCACATTGCTTCGCCTTTGCGATGAAACAGTGACTTTTGTTAATTTCGGACAACCGTATCGTCAACCCCGAGGGGATGTCAGATTAGGCGCTGATGGAAACACTCTTGAGACCACGGTTAAGACATATTCGGAGGTCGACTCGTTGCGCACTTCTGTCTTGCGCCGCGAGCTTGCAGGCTGGTAGCTTTCGCGATCTGCATATTAGTTCTGGCAACAAGACGGCATGTTGAATGGAATACAATGAACGCGAAAACAAAAATTGTAATGTTATAAGAAGTAAAGCTGGCAGCCAACTCTTTTGGATCCGGTATCGCAGAGCTCCTACAAAACGCTGGTGTGAGCAAATAAGGCCGCTCCAGGGAGAAGTGCTCTTTTCACACTGCTCCTTCGCATTGAAACCGCACTGATACTCGCCGAGATAGCAAGCGTGCCAGTGTTCGCGACCGCCCTTAAAATCCAAGTTCATTATTGCTACTTGAGCGATTGCCCTCCCCCTTCCCGAGTTGTTTCATGCTCGTTCAAGACGGGTGGGTTACTTTCTGTTTGAACATTCGACGGCAGTTCTAACACGCGGGAGATGTTATCTTATGCACTTTCCAGGCGATAGGGATGGGCCGACTTATTTGATCTCTGCTTTAGCAGCGCTCACACGCTTTTACCTGCTCGCGAAAGTTACGATGCGCGGGGGCGTGTTATCAATTTGTACTTGTTACGGAACATGGCGGCGACGGCAGACACCTGCCGAGAGTGTCCATATAATTGCTATCGAAATAATAACGCAGCCTTTTTCTGTAAATTGAGTGTTTTGGGTTAGCTCTGCCTTGAGGCCCCTTTTTGTTTAATTTGCACGTTTATTTTCTAAATTTTCGTACGAAACCTGCATATAACGAAAGCCTCTTTTTAACGATTTTTTTGGGAGAATTTATCAATTTCATTATATCCAGGATTAACTGTATACATCTATTCGTTCATTGCGAATACATCAAAATTTTCAATTCAAATTCGAATCACAGCGAATTTGAATAGTGTACTATTCGCTCGACTATGAAAAGTATTCCAAAGAAGTTCCCCTTCAAGAGTGTCCATGGCTCGATGGAGCTGAGCCCTCTTGCAAATTTAAAAAGTAATGCAAAATACTTTCCAAGCTATATTCGCTGCTGACATTTGGCAGATGACATACGAATCGCCGGAAGTGACCCCGCAGGCTATCCAGGCGGCAAAATTTTGTGTCAGTATCCCTTTAAGTGTGATACGTACTATCAGTTTATAGAGCCTTAATTCAAGCCAAGCCAGAGCCTTAATTCAAGCCAAGCCAAAGTGCCAAGTGTGCGTTGTGGCTTGTATTATACGTTGTGTGAATTCTGTGGTTACGCTATCAGGCGATACTGAAGCTACTAGGCTGTTTTAAAGTTGGAAGTGATTGATCATGCACTAAACAAAGCCAGCAGGCACTTCGGAGTCAACACATTTTTTGATTTCTATTGGTGACAACGAGCTGAAAGCCACCAAGACACGTTGGGCCTTCTGTGTGCCTGAAAATGGGATAAATGATAAACTTTATTTAGTCGGACGGAAACTGTGGACAATTCTGTGTTAGATGGCCATCAGTTCAAGGTTGATGTCGTACCCTAACCATTTGCGGACTCCCGGAGAGCGACAAATGCTAATGCAACACCCGCAAGCTCTGCCGGTATTTTAGTTCTCTGCTATTTGCTTACAACTTTTGTGTCTCAAATAAATGTTGCCTTGTGTTAAACCTGTGGCTTTATTGTTAAGGTAAGTCTTGATAAGAACTTTTCAAAAGCTTGCAGTTACTAGTTACTGGCATGAGAATCCCAATCTGTAGCCACTTTGTTTTCTTTTTTGCTCTGTAACTTGCAAAGTGACGCCCCTATCTATGTCAATGAGCACTTGTGTCCGGAAATAAAGAGACTACAGGGCATGCGAAAGCTTGAACATGGTTGGAAGTTTGTTTGGACAAGAAATGGAAACATTTTTGCCTGTCGCACAGAGACGTCACCTGTCGTGGCAATTTGTCGAGAAAGTGATCTTCAAAAAATTAGCGCCACTTAATAAGTGAAGCTTTTGATGTATTGGGTGATGGATCTTTTTACCATGTTGTTAGCTAGTTATATCACCGATGAGGACATTCAGCGCATTGTGAAATCTAGAAAAAACACCCGTAGTCTGTTCAAAGTGATGCATTTAAATGCCCGATCACTTCAACCAAAAAAAGGATGATGTCACTTCGCTGTTGGAATCGTGTGGTACCAACTTTGACCTTTTAATGTTCACAGAAATGTGGTATACTGATGAGTCGGAACATTTCATGCTACCAGGGTACAATCACTTTTTAAATAGCAGGAGAGTAGAGGGGAAGGCATTGCCATTCTAACAACACTTGAGTCTTGTGAAGTAATCGAA